AAATGGGAAGGGAGTAAATAATATACTCTTTTGAAGAGTTACAATAACTTAAAATATTTTAAGTAATATCTTTTTCCTGGAGGTTTGATGAGGAGTCCGTAAAATCCCAACGACCTCGGAGGCAGCGTGAACTAGAGGCTCGGACTCCAATGTGGAAAATAGATTTAAGCATTAAAGGTTAGGGTACACTGTACAGTGAACGCGCTATTTTAAAAGCCTTTTTTAAAAGTTGGAAGCCTGATTCTCAACGTGAATATTTAAATCTCTATTTAAGCAACAACCGGGATTGACGGGGCTGTATACTTTCCACCATGCAAGAATTTTGCAAACCCTGGTATAAGCACGACGACATTAAATCTAGGCTTCTAGAATTTTTATAACAAGATACTAAAATGTCACACCTACTGTTGTTTGAGCTATTGAATATTTCGACAACTGTTTTTGCTTCTAACTTTTTATTTGCATAAAATTATGGCAACAAATTTAAATGCAAATAGTAGAACATTATAATCTTAAAATAAAACTAACTATGTAGAAAGCAAAACTCAATCAAAACATGTTAATATGAACAAAAGTGAAAATATCGATAAATCCGATGACGTTAGATCAATTGACTAACCACCAAAATAAATGACTGGTGGATATTTTTAAATTGCGGATTTACAAATATGAAATATGTAAATAAGAGATCACTAGTATAATGTACATGGCTCACAGTTACACATAGCCTAAATCATACTTAATCATTTTTAGGTTGGGTTAATGTCTACTACAATTTAAAAGATTAAGAAATAATATGAATGTCGTCTTCTTTAAACCAGTGCCGACTTTTGGGGTTTGCACTATTATTGCAGGGTGTTCAGAAACTTTGGCTGATAAATTATGAATTAGATGTAAATATTTATAATTTTAAAAGCTAATTTTATTCAATTGTGTTTTCTCTACAATAGTGACTTGCGCATTTCTACAGGAAAACTTTGAGGAATTATTTAATTGAAAAGTTTTAAACTAGATTGACGACAATTACACATTTTTGATGGGATATAGGTATCAAGGGTACAGTTGTGAATTGCACATTGCCTTCTTTGCATGGAGGATGTCTTGACATTACGATTACATTACGGTCCCTGTATAGAAGATAATGCCATCTTTTTATCTGGAAATTTTTTATATTCTGACACTTTCCATCTTTCTCTCCAACGTTTTAAATGCGCGCAAGTAACGTAACAGTAATATTGCAATTGAAGTTAATCAACTGTTAAAATTGTACATGCCACTTAACCCTGTGGCCGAATTTAAAGAATTTGAGCGGCGGTTTAAATTTAAGCNGCTCAGTTGCAGGATGGGACATTGGGTCATACCAGTGCTTAATGCTCAGTTGCAGGATGGGACATTGGGTCATACCAGTGCTTAATGCTCAGTTGCAGGATGGGACATTGGGTCATACCAGTGCTTAATGCTCAGTTGCAGGATGGGACATTGGGTCATACCAGTGCTTAATGCTCAGTTGCAGGATGGGACATTGGGTCATACCAGTGCTTAATGCTCAGTTGCAGGATGGGACATTGGGTCATACCAGTGCTTAATGCTCAGTTGCAGGATGGGACATTGGGTCATACCAGTGCTTAATGCTCAGTTGCAGGATGGGACATTGGGTCATACCAGTGCTTAATGCTCAGTTGCAGGATGGGACATTGGGTCATACCAGTGCTTAATGCTCAGTTGCAGGATGGGACATTGGGTCATACCAGTGCTTAATGCTCAGTTGCAGGATGGGACATTGGGTCATACCAGTGCTTAATGCTCAGTTGCAGGATGGGACATTGGGTCATACCAGTGCTTAATGCTCAGTTGCAGGATGGGACATTGGGTCATACCAGTGCTTAATGCTCAGTTGCAGGATGGGACATTGGGTCATACCAGTGCTTAATGCTCAGTTGCAGGATGGGACATTGGGTCATACCAGTGCTTAATGCTCAGTTGCAGGATGGGACATTGGGTCATACCAGTGCTTAATGCTCATGCATAAAAATTTCACATATTTCACTGACTAGTTTTTGTCACAAAAGTTCGCGGATTTATATTTGTGATTATCAGGCGCGGATACAGAAGGGGGAAAAGGGGTGTCACAGATCCCTCCTTTTGGAAAAGGGGGTAAAGGTATCTTATGACCCCCCCTTTTCTAGAGACTAACTTAAAAGTTTACTGTAACTGTTTTCCAGCAGATACTTAACCAACGCTCTGTTAAGTAATTGAATATGTTGCTTTCCCATTTTATAAATTAAGTTTATTATGATTACAGAATTGTATGAAACACATTTTAGTTTTTAAAAACATTACAGTCAAAACCATAGTACGGGCATGAAATTTTGTACAAAAGGAAAATTCTATATTTCTTGGAATGTTTAAAAAATGCAATTTTTACAAATCCCTGAAATGTAAAAAATGTTTTAAAAAAACACAATACAGATGAAATATATTTTTTTTTTTGGAACTGGGTCGTTTTCCCAAATTCAAATCAAATTACAGAATATAAAAATATTTAAAATTGACTAAAGCTAAAAAACGTAGTACTAAAAAAATTTAGATGTATTAAAAAAAATTTGATCAAAGGTTGTTTATTTTTTAATGTTTTTGAACTCATTAAATTGTTTTAAACTCTAGTTTTCATGTATATTTTATTGCTACCCATATCAAAATGTTTTTAATACTTAAATTTTCGCTTAAAAATTATTTTTTTAACCTTTTTTATCTTACAAACCTAATTTGTGGGAGACTTTTTTGGATTTTATCCTCGACCTATCCTTGCTATCCTTTAATATGTCAATATTTCCTGATTGAAAAATTTTTAAGTACAGTTCTGACTAAATTGACAATATCTTTATAATATTTTAAGAGTAATTTACTATTTTGAGCACTTTAAATACTTACTCTCAATGCCTAATCCTTTAAAAAAATGCGGGGGGCTCTGCCTACCTTGCTTACAAGTTTCGCTCGCCCCCCCCCCCAAAGTGTAAAAATAAAAATAAAATAAAAAATTATTTATTTTCCCAAATTAAAGGAAGAATACCCTAAACAGCTGGGGGGGGGGGGGGGGGAGGGGTGGTTAATGATTGTTCAAAAACAGTGCTTAGGATCCAAATCCAGGAAGCCAAAATCTTGCGGATCTAATGAGTCCGGATCCTAAGAACTGCTCAAAATTATATGAATTTTTAGGATTTGTCTGAGGTTTGATTTGAGTTGGGTTGGTTCTAATGGAGTCATACTGGACACCCTGATATCCGAGAATATAACAAACACCAAGAGCAAGTATGTCATTTATTTAATGACTGGATTAATTTTATATTGAATGTTTCTATAAAGCCTATCGCTACAGGCACATCCAGATTGAAAAATAGGCTGAAAACATGAAAAAAAAAGACGGTTCAGGACATCACAGACAAACTACCGACAAAAAAAATCGATTTTAAGCATGCTTAAATGCCATATTCAAAAAATGTTAACATTTTATTCTTGTAATAAACAATTATTATTAAATTGATTAAGGCAGTTAAAAGAACATTTTTTTCAGGTCAATGGGTGCTTTTGATCTCTCCGGAGAAATATCAATTTCTAAAACTTGTTGCAAGCTATCAAGGAATCAACTCAATCTATTGATTTAATAAAGGGCATATGAATGAATAAGTGAAAATTGTCATTCGGATTTTGGAAAAGATGGAAAAAGAAAAATGATTTTAAAAAGAGGAGAGAACTGGAATGGATACTGTAAATTCAGCTCAAATTAATTTATTTGAACAAAAGAATTGATTGATTGATTGACCCAGGCGTGTGTATATTTTCTCGCAATTTGCTCTTCCCAGGTATAATTTTCGTTTCTACGCTTCGCTTGCTTTTGTCCTACTTTTGAAATTTGAAACAACATTACTTACTTATTACTTAACAGCTTCTCTCCATTTTGATGAATATGACAATACGCCATCCTGGTCTGTCCTAGGCTAGCTTCTCAGCTTTCCCCCCATGTCCGACCCATCTCTTTTAGCTCAGTTTCGTCACTACTTCTCCATGTAGATTTTTGTATGCCCTAGCTTTCTTTCCTGGTGGGTTCCATCGAATATATTTCTTGGGTTTCTCAGGTTTACCATTCTGAGCACATGATCAAGCCAGCTTAATTGTTACCAAAAAACAATATTATATATTGTCTGATCTGCGTAATTGTTGAACATCACTATCTTTTGTCATATCATATCCTTGTAATCTATGTATTGTAGTGGGGAGAAGGATAAGGAGGTTGTACCAAGATTTGTTGTGAGTCCGGACAATGGGAGAACCTTCAGAGAAGATTCTAGGTATAATTATTTTCGAAATTTACATCCGTGGTCTGAATTTTTTGGTGCCGAGACGGAAAGACTTACGATCGCTTTTTCTTTCTGTAGATTAAAACAACCTGAGAGTTTTGGAGTAGGAAAACTATGGATGTGGTTTGAAACTCCTCTGCAGGCAGAAGATCATGTTACAGATATATACCAGGAAGCATATTCGACACAACTTTAACCGGGCTAAAACCTAATCTAAAAAGAAAATTTACTGAGTAATTTTTTCTTGCTAAATGTTGGCATTCATCGAAGAAAACCCCTTATAATTTTTTATGTCGAAAAAAAATTGTTTTTTTTTTAAATGTACCCTATTTCCATAAAGTTTTTTTTTACCTGTGTCCTCTGATTAATTGAAATTAAGCTGTTGTGGGGGGGGGGATAGGACTAAGGGATGCTCCTTATATATTTAATACTTTTCATTCGAAATGTTTTAACTAAAATTATGGTTGTTGAAAAAGTTCCCCAATTGTGTGAAATAAAGTTTATTTCCACTGGACAATTATTTCTCAAGAGGGAGAACACATTAGAAACACCCTAACTTGTAATACAAGATAATTGAAGGAATAATCGAAGAATATGACAAAGTTTAGGAGAACCTTAAGATATATGTTGAAGGATACAGGTTCATAATTTTATTATCTTTTCTTTGATTTTGTTCTACCTCTTACCCAACAATTATTTATTTTCTCTAATTCAGGGGGAACAATAAATATAACAAAAATATTTTTGAGAAGACGGGGTTGATTTTTCAAGAAAATATAAAACCTTAATTCTATTCTGTATCTACTGCTAAAAAAGTAGTTTTATTGTTTTAGGCTGAAGGATAAATATGTTACTAAGAAGAAAATAGAGTTTCAGTATCTTTATCATATGGTAACTATTTATGTACCTATCGACATACAACTCTACATATATATTTATGTACCTATCTATCTAGCCCTATATCTATCTATTTTCCTGTCTACATATCTACCTATCTATGACATATGTACCTGTCTGATAAAGATTTAATTAAATTGATAAATAAAATATAAGATTTCTTCTAAAATTCATATTACATAATTTTATTACTGACGACAGATTTTCATCTTTCCATCTACCTATCTATCAATCCATCAACCCATCAATCTCTTCAGCTATCAATCTATCTAACTATCTATATATCTATATGTATCTGCAAGTATATCTATCTATCAACACATTTAAATATTTTTCTACCTTATCATGTTGGTTCCACTTAAAATTGTATTAAATGTTTCAAGATTTAAGCCGGCGCTTAATTTAAACCGGGTTTCGGCAGATTTAAACCGCCGCTCAAATTCTTTAAATTCGGCCAAGGACCTAACATCAACTTGATGTATTAGACCGGCGTGTATCCTGGTTTACTGAATCTGACGCTCAACCTGCTGGATATCAACAACCTATTGGAGAACTAGTGGAAGCAGAGGATGGAGGAGGAATACTGGATTTAAAGGTAAAGTATACAGGAGGGACAGTGCTTAGGATACGGATCCGTTGGATCCGCAATATTTTGGCTTCCTGGATCCGGATCCGCAAAAATATACGGATCCACAGATCCGGATCCAAGGGTTAAAAACTACAAAAAAAACTTATTCCTAAAACCAAAATCTGAACTTTTGATAAAAAGAGAGATTATAAAAATTTCCTCATTTCTGAATGGGTTATCGAGTTTTAGGACAAAAAATATGCGAAAAAGATAGAACAAAAATTTGAAAATAATTTGTTGTTCAAAAAATCCAGGATCCGGATCCGCATCAAAATTGAATGGATCCTAAGCACTGTACAGGGGTATATATTTTTTCTTGGAAAATCATATACTCTCCCTTTTTGCAAATCATGTTCCCATATGTTCATTTTTTTCGCTGATTTGGGAGAAAAAGATGAAAAATCTTGGGTGAAAAGTATCAAAAAGGAAGAAAAACTTGCCTTTCGACGTCCAGGTTTAGAGTAATCAAGTTGTTCTTATTTGTTGAATTTTATTTTAACGTATTTGATTGTTTTAATATTTATTCTTTGTTTGTTTACAATTGTTAAAAAGTATTATTTTTGCAATGTTAACATTGTTTTACATTGCTGGTTTGAAAATTATTCTCTAGTTGGGGAAAGGTTCTTTGAAAAAATCTTCGTTTTGTTTTTCATTGGTTTATCCGTTATAATTTGATATTTTTATGTTAAGATGCTTCATATAACTGTTATAACCCCGCTCCAACGAACCAATGCTACGGGCATCAAAATAATTGACTCCCTCAGATTCCGACGTCATATGTTTGAGCAGGTAAATGTTTTCATTTTCTTTTTTGAATTTATAAATGCTTTTTTCTTATTTTGCTCTGTAGTTTCCTTTCTCTTGATTTTTTTTGAGTTAAAAGACTCAAAAAGAGTCAAAATTAATGACTAAAGCCTAAAAAAAAAGATTTTTAACTTTTCACACATTATAGTTTATTTAGACCGATATTTTTCCTGTTTTGCACTAGGGTTTCTTTCCCTTAAGCATGCTATTGAGAAGCTATTCTGAAAATAGGAACAAAAAATTCTAAATTCAGGGGGGGGCGAATTTCAACCCGCCCCCCCCCCTGTTTCGTGGTGTACTCGGTTGTAAGGACTATTTTGAAAGATTAATTATTATTTAGAAACCCTGAGTGCCCGCCCAGGTCAGAAACGAAGACGACTAACTCAGAGTTCGAGGTAAATCCGCCAAAACATAAAATGTACATGGTACATGGTACATGGTATACATGGTATAGTTTGGACAATTAAAATTTGCAAACAATTTATTTCATCCATCTATAGAGTTTAAATAAAAAGGGATGGGAGGGGGGATATCAAATTTTGCACCCCGAAAAAATTAAGTTTTTTATATTTTTTTTCATTTTTATTTTTTAAGATCTTCCGGGAGTGTGTGCAAAAGTCCTGTTAGCATAAGCTCTCCAGTAAACTCGGAAAGAATTCAAGTAAGAAAAATTCTAAGTTCTTAAGTTCACCAATTTTATTTTTAGCAATTAGAAAAATAATGTTCAGCAATGAATATTGGATTAAACTACAACTATTATCACCCAATCCAAAATAATGTAAACTTTATAGCCAATTCATGATTTGTGAGTTTCAACTTCAGAAAAGCTAAAATTTATACCTGAAATATGAAACCATAACTCTCATATAAGTTTATTACAATTTGTTATAAGTATTCATATAGGAAACTACACATTTCATGTTCTCTGTATTAAAACTGGGGCATGAATATTTGTTAGGAAAAAAATTAGATTTTATGTCAAGTTTCTGATAACATGTGTGTAAAATCAGAGAATCTTTTTATCATTTTTTTTACTACTATTACTTCTTTTCTATCCTATGCATCCTTTCCTAAAAGAATCAGTGAAACGAAGTCTGCCAGGACCCTAAAAAGACTCTGTGCGGATAAAACAATCCCGGATTATATCGAACATTTTTAGAACGTGATGATTTCAACCCCAGTGGCAGGAAATTCAGAGATCTTAGATTTGACCGTGGAATCTCAAGGGGCAGGGGGAAAAGTGACAAAAATGGAAACAGAATCCGACTTAGAAAGTCTAAATGCATCAAGGGCAACCTCTAGAACTAATAGTCCAACTAGCCCAGAGCCACCACACCATGGCCAGCAGCCATTCGATTTCAGGACCAAAAACAGCAAATCCGCGAATTTAGTTGAGGGAAAATCTACCAAAATATCAAATCTTGTAGATTCTAGTCAGCTGACCAGTTATCCAGTTATATCTTCTAATGCTGTATTCCCTGCCTTGGACAGATTTATTATTTTATCCTCAAGTCAGATTGTGTCTTCCTCTGGCGTTATGGATCTGTCCATATCAAAATCAAGAAATCATGCTGTCAACTCAAGTTCTGTCGGCACTATTTTTGTTCCTAAACCGGTTCTACGACCTAAACCACCAACATCACTTCATGGAACAATTGTACACCATGAGGCATCAAGCCAGCGCCATCTGGGTACTAAGAATCTAGAGCGCAAGAGTATAACAGCTGTGGCCAGCAGACAAAAGATATCTTCTGAATTTGAGATATTGAAGCAACTAGAGAACCTCATAGTGATGCTCAGCTTAAATCCAGGTCTGGGGTGGTCATAAGTTATTATTTTTAAAACAAAATTTTCCCCCTGAAGTCGTTCTCTCCCCCCCTTTTTATTTTTTTTTAAAATAATTGACCTCCCGGAAAATCAGGAGATGCTGATGTTGTTGCAACTTCATTACTTCGCCTTAAAAATCTAGGAACCCGAAAAATAAATTCAAACTAAAAAATGATTCAAGATAAGAAATAACATAAGCAAGCTTGAAATTTATTAATAGTATGAAGTAGTTGATTTAATAACTTCTTGATTATCTAACACACCTACTTCTTTGGTTCAAGATATCACAGCGGCACAAGAAAAGTAGTTTGTGACTAGTTTAATTTTTTCTTTCCTATTCAAAGTTCCTACATAATACTAACTAAAATGACCCACCCCACGTGTTCTTTCTCTTGAAAATTATATTTTTCTTGGTTCAGAACCTGTTCTCTGCTCAGGATTTACCTCGGAGAAGATCAAAGATAGGATCTCCATGGTGTGCTCTCACTTGAACCGTATCAGTACCCTTTTCAAACCTGGAACAGAAAACGGAACTCAGTGTCGAGCGTTGCTGAAAAAATTTGAGGAGAACCTTTGCGCTAGTTGGTTAATAACATAAATGAACATCGTAACTAATTCATCACACCTATACATAAATCCACCATCGAGATTAAACATTATTATTATTGTCATTGATAATAGTTCAAGTTTGTACATTTGTAATTTAGATTAGTATTGCTGACAATCTAATCCATTGTCACTAAAATTTGTGATAAAAAACAAACGGCCATAATATTTATGTATTGTACACTCAAATTAAATTGGAAGTTAATTACCCGGATAATGATTTGTAGTTATAATGATAAACGGTACAGCGTGTAGATTAGATTAGATTATCCTCATATTTTTTGCCTTAATACACCTTAAGTGCATTGAGAATTGTGTATTTTATGTAGGTAAATTTTACAGTTGCACATTTTTTATGGATTTTAAATCTTTAATTAGATTTGTTGTGTGTCCCAAAAATCTCAATTTTCAAGTGCACAATCCAGTATGAACTGAAAAATTCATGCTGATAAAAGAAAATTATTTATCATACAATCTTCTGATAATCTAAATAATTGTCAACGTTATTTTTAAATCCATTTTTTTGTTTTGGATTATTATTATGAATTGTAAAAGATATATTTATAAAGTTAACTTTATATTTTAATAAAAAAAATTTTTTTTAGTTTTGAAAAAAAAATCGTTAAATATAATAATAGAATGCTAAGATTCCATCTCAGATGATCCAAAGTATAAGTTGAAAAGAATATTTGTCTTTGTCTTTTATGAACAGACAAAATCATAATAATAACTTATACTGCTGAGTTTTTATCTTCTGTACATGAAAGATTTTCATTTTACTAAATGCAGGGTGGCCAAAATGTACGGATTGTACGGATTGATTTTTTTTAACCCTAAAATTGTACGGATTGTACGGATT